ACAATTAACCATCTGAAAATCTGCGTTAGGTTGTCTGTATGCCAAAGTCAGCTTGTTGTAACGGAAACACTTGAGTTCGTTTCCCCACAGGTTGAGTTGTCCTGATGGTCAAGCTGTCCAGAGTCAAGTTAGTAAATGGTCAAGTCAGACATAACGTTACATGTGTGAGGTAGGCCAAGTTAACAATTGTATCCTTTTTTAACGCTTGATCTTTGTACGATTTGTTAATCTTATTTTTTTGTTGCATGATTTGCTAAATATTCCAGCATAGGCAGATTGTTTTGTAAACAGGGGGTACAGTCAGACATTTTCCAACATTTGCCAGCATTCGATCACACATGTGCCTTTGTAAAGTGAATTTGTGGCCCAATGGTTTTTGGATTGGCTTTGAGAGCATGTGATTGTACGATCTTGATGCATTGTGAATTTTGTCTTTTTGTCTTTTGTACTTAGACCTAACTACAATGACTCTATATCCTTGCCAAGTCTCTCATTTTGCCACCGAAATGAATTATTTTAAAGTCTGGGACTTGGCAACTACATACATGTACATGTACATTACATGTACATGCTCAGGGACATTATCACTGCAATTTCAGACTTCTCTTCTCTTGAGAAAGTGCCCCAAATTCACAAGTCATGAAGAAATGTGATATATCCAGCAATTTATTGCTGGATTCTGTTTAAAACAGTAATACACTGAAATGGACTAGGTGCTTTCATAAAAATTGTAAGGATTCAAGAAATATACTGGAGCTGGATTTGAACCTGCGACCTTCATGAATACCGTACAGAAGCCATGTAACCTGAAACACCATATAGCCAGGGAAACTGACTACAGTTGTACATGTACCGGTATCTGCTTTGCTATAACTATAAAGGTGAACAGGAATCACACAAAGAGTGATCCCTGTTCACTGCTTCCCAGGTTACACTGTGTATAATTGGGGCATGATCCCTGACTATAGTGTTTCAGGTTACATGGCCTCTGACTAGTGCTCCCAAACAAAGATAATTGACAAATGGTAAGAGCCACCAA